AAAAAAAAAAAAAGAAGATGCCACTGCACTCTAGCCAAGGCAACAGAAGAAGACTCTATCTAAAAAAGTGACAACAAACAAAAATCAGAAGGAAAAGTTTGAAATATTGTGAGAATTACCAAAATTTGACACAGAGGCCTAAAATGAACACATTCTATTGGAAAACTGGTGCTAAAGACTTGTTCGAGGCAGGGTTGTTGCAAAACTTCAGTTTGTAAAACTGCATTATTGGCCGGTTGTAATGGCTCGTGCCTGTAAGCACAGCACTTTGGGAGGCCAAGGCAGGGATTGCTTAAAGCCAGGAATTCAAGACTGGCCTGGGCAACAGAGAACCTGTCTCTACAAATTCTTTTTAATTATCTGGGCACAGTTACATACACCTGTAGTTCTACCTACTTAGAAGGCTGAGAAGACGAGAGGATACAGGAATTGGAGGCTGCAGTGAGCTATGATTACACCACAGCACTCCAGCCTGGGTGACAGAGTAAGACCTCATCTTTAAAAAGAAAGAACCAAAGGGAGGGAGGGAGGAAGGAAAGTCTGTCTACGAAGCTCAATGATACAGCTTTGATTTTTTAATTTATCAAGGTCCTGATGCAAAGCATTTTAAAAATTATCTAATTTTACGAGGTTTGTTGAGAAAAATGGTAGTCCCCAAACTTCTCTCAGCTACTTCTCCTCCCCCAGAGCGATTTCTTGGGTGTTTTCTTCCATATCTCCAAATCACAAGCATGTATTACTGCTTCTTGACCTTTAAATGTGGGGCATTTAACTCGCACTAAGGACGATGAGAATTTACTTCTGTTTTCCCCCACCCCACCCCACACGCCCCTGCCCCACTCCTTCCCATACGGTTACATGTAATTTTGGTTAATTCCGTATTCAGTATTTACATCATGATACCTATGTTTCTTTTATTCAGCTTTGGAGTTGAGTCTTATAGCGCATATGCTTTTCCTGCTAAATTTTATTTTTTCCAATATCAGTAATTCTTGGTTTTTTCATTAGCAGCTTCCCTCCATTGTAATTTAATACAAAATTCTTTGTCAGTTTTCTAACTCTCTTCCCAACACAGTCACCACATACATTTGGTAATTTTCATCTTGATGAAATGATCCCCTAACCTATTCCCCTTTGAGCTATTTTTTTAATTTTATGGTTTTTTTTTTTTTAGAGACAGAGTCTCACTCTGTCACGCTCAGTAGAGTGCTGTGGTGTCACTGCTTGCAGCAACCTCCAGCTCCTGGGCCCAGGCAATTCTCTTGCCTTAGCCTCAGGAGCAGCTAGGACTACCACCTATTTTTTGTTGCAGTTTTGGCCAATGCCCAGTTTCAAACCCACCACCCTCGATTTATGGGACCGGCACCCTACTCACTGAGCCACAGGCCCTGCCCCCCTTTGAGCTATTAATAGTTGCTCTTATCCTGGGATCTCTTTGTATCATGACCTTGGAGATACTATTAGCTCCTCTCCTGTGTTAGACTCCTGTTTCTCGTATCCCATGTCTTCCTCTTTCTTAGTTTACTGTCATTGTTTTTTATTTGAGATGGAGTTTCATTATGTCCCCCTCAGTAGAGCACTGTGGCATCATAGCTCACAGCAACCTCCAACTCTTGGGCTTAAGCAATTCTCTTACCTCAGCCTCCTAAGTAGCTGGGACTACAGATGACCCTCCACAATACCCAGCTATATTTTTTTATAGTTGTCATTGTTTTAGCTGGCCCAGGGCTGAGATCAAACCTGCCAACCTCGGTGAATGTGGCTAGCACTGTAACCCCTGCTATGGGCACAGATACTCTCTCTCTCTCTCTCTCTTTTTTTTTTTTTTTTTTGAGATAGAGCCTCAGGCTGTCCCCTGGGTAGAGGGCCCTGCCATCACAGCTCCAGCTCACAGCAACCTCCAACTCCTGGGCTTAAGTGATTCTCTGGCCTCAGCCTCCTGAGTAGCTGGGACTACAGGCACCTGCCACAACACCCAGCTATTTTTAGGTTGTAGTTGTCATTGTTGTTTGGCAGGCCTGGGTTGAATTCGAACTCGCCAGCTCTGGTGTAGGTGGCTGACACCTTAGCCGCCTGAGCCACAGGTGCTGAGCCCATACTCTCTCATTTTGATAGAGTACATTGTCTGTTAGCTTCCTAAGACAGGGAGGAAGTGTGGGAGAAAAGAATTTTTCCCTTTTTATTTTGCAGTTTTTGGCTGGGGCCAGGTTTGAACCCACCACCTCTGGTATATGGGGCTGGCACCCTACTTCTTTAAGTCACAGGTCCCACCCTGGAAGAAAAGAATTTTTAAATTCTTCCTGAGATATTTTTCTTTTCTTTCTTTTCTTTTCTTTTCTTTTCTTTTTTTTTTTTTTTTTGAGACAGAGTCTCACTTTGTCAGAGACAAAAGAGTGCTTCGGTGTCATAGTTCACAGCAACCTCAACCTCTTTGGCTTAAGCAATTCTCTTGCCTCAGCCTCCTGACTACCCGGGACTACAGGTGCCCACCATAATGCCCAGCTAGTTTTATAGATGAAGTGTTGCTCTGGCTCAAGCTGGTCTCAAATCTGTGAGCTCAGGCAATCTACCCACCTCAGCCTCCCAGAGCTAGGATTATAGGCATGAGCCACCTTGCCCAGCCTTGCCCTTTTTTTTTTTTTTTTTTTTTTGAGACAGGTCTCACTCTGTTGCCCAGTGGAGTGCAGTGGCCTCATTATCACTCACTGCAACTTCCAATTTCAGGGCTTAAGCAATCCTCCTGCCTCAGCCTCCCAAGTTCCTGGGACTACAGGTGTACACCACCACATCTGGCTCTGAAATTCTCTATTCTACCCTCATACTTGATATTTGGTTAGATATCTTCTTCCATTTTCAGAATTATAAAGTACATTTTATGTTATAAAATGACAGAACACATTTTATATCATAAAAAAAGACAAGAGTTATGTGGAAAAATGAATTAACATTTTGTTAAATGTATCCATTCAAACTCTGACTCCAAAAGACAAATGTCTTCTGTTTCTCTTCAAGATGTCTGAAAATCTGCAAGTCATCCTACCAAATAGGTGAATTTTATATTTCTGTTTCTTTTTTATTTTCACACAGGGATCTATTTGTGATGACTATTTAGTGACCATGTGCTGTCCTCATTGTTCTCTCTGCCAAATCAAGAGAGATATCAACAGAAGGAGAGCCATGCATGCTTTCTAAAAACATGATGGTGAGTCAATGCAAACATCCTTCCTAGAATCTCTGCGTTTTTAGAAATATCATTAAGAGCATTGTCAATCAGTCGTAGTTTTGAGTCATAATTCAGTTATAATAATTTTTAAATCCCCCCAAATTGCTATCTTAATATTAAGATTGATTTTTATTCTTTCTTATGAAGAAGATAGCTCCATGCTTTGAAATCATAATTTAATAACTAAAGGAATGGTGAATTCTCTAAACCCAGAATTCTGTTGGTCTATTAAGGAAGCAAGAAGTAGAAAGCATGCTCCCTCCCAGGACAAACAAGGTGACAAAATAAACTGGCAAATACTTATAAACTAGTAGAGCAGATGAAAATCACACATTTTGTAATATTTGGGTTGATTGTAGCATAAATCGTCTATCATAGCTAGGAGACGTTAAACAGAAAAGTCCAGTTGAAAAAGTGAACTTTGAAAGGGGTAGACGGAGAATTTAGAGTATTTGGAAAGGTTACATAGAATTTCACTATCTCAAATTCGAACAAGTCATTTCTACTACTTTTTCCTATGAGCTCTCATGGATGTCGTTAAGTAGAAATCAACATGATTTTGCCAGTCTTCTGCAGAATGTATGTCAACTATGGGATGGAAAACTTTTTCCATTCTGTACTAGATCCCACTTCCTTTCTCAGCTGAGCGAGGACTCTGTAGAGGTTAACAAAGACAATTGTTGGGAAATATGTTCTAAAAATGTTTTTTATTGGCCTGGGCTCAGTGGCTCACACCTGTAATCCCAGTACTTGGGAGGCCGAGGTGGGTGGATTGCCTGAGTTCACGAGTTTGAGACCAGCCTGAGCCATAGCGAGACTCCCAACTCTGAAAAATAGCCAGGTGTTGTGGTGGACACCTGTAGTCTCAGCTACTTGGGAGGCTGAGGCAAGAGGATCGCTTGAGCCCAAGAGTTCAAGGTTGCTGTAAGCTAAGATGCCACAGTACTCTACCAAGGGTGACAAAGTAAGACTGTCTCATAAAATATAATTAGGGTGGTGCCTGTGGCTCAAAGGAGTAGGTCTCGGGCTCCATATGCTGGAGGTGG